GCATGCACCATGTAAGGATGGAAGAACTTCATACACACAGACACGTGCACGCACACATGCACCAGGTAAGCAATAATCACCATAACTGCTACTCCTAGCACTAAAAAAACCGTGGATTTTCAAGGCATTTAGAACACTTTTCCTTACTGTGGTCAAAACGAGAATGTTATCAGCACCACTGTTGAATGGGGGAAGAGGCCCTTGACGAAAATCGAAGCTTGTCCTGCTTTCCCGAAGGCCAGTTCGGAGGCACGGATCCCGCTTACGGTGCCTCTTCCTTTCGGCAGCGAGAGCCCCTCCAAGGAGCCCTCCCTCTTGGAGCCCTCAGTGCACTGGGTGGCTGTGCCGTCGGTGCAGGGTGCCGAGCGTCGCTGGGTCTTGTCCATCTCGCCTGAAGGAAACTTCACCCCATCGAACTGCAGCCTTCCGCTCCTTCTCCTCAGCCCACTGCGCTTTCTGGCTGAGTGTCACTGTTTTGGGTGGGAGTTCTCTTAGCTTTCACGGCTCACCTGTGCTTTGCGTGGAGGTTGGTGCAGAGCGCACTGTGCTCGCGTGGATGGGACCTCTGTGCAGAGGCTCACCACAGCTTGCTGTCACACGTTCCCTGTGCCCTGGTCGCGTCATCTTCCTCTGCCTCAGCTTCTTTATGCAGCAGAGCTTGAGAAGTCTGTCACACTCTCTGGCGATTCTGACATAGTCACATGAGGTTCCGGTGAGCCCCCTCCTCCGTGGCGGTTTGATGCATCTTTCTGGCTGCCAAATGTCCGTGATGTTTTCCTGAAGTCTGAAGATCCATCCCCTGAACTCTGGGACCTCAGACCCCAGCAGCCTCGGAGGCCACTGTCGCTGTCTGGTGGCATCTGCCCTATGGGGTCTCAGCCCTGGCCAACGCTTCCCAAGCAGGCTACCTTGACGTCCCGGGCGTGGCTGTATCTCAGGAGGACAGGCGGTATGAAGGTGGGTGGTATCCCAGGAGCGTTTGTTGGACACTGGCTAACTTGGCAGCAGGAGCGTGCACCTTGGCAGGGGCTCCCACCCCGGTCACAGCTCCGGGTCACACGCAAGGAGCAAGCCAGCCCTGTCTCTCAGCAGTCAGCCTGCTTTTCCCAGTGGGAAACCGGCAGTGTCTCCCTTCTGCCTTCTGATCGCTGTCCACCTGTGTAGACATCTTCCAGAACAGGCCGTCATTACAGATACCAGGCAGGGCACAGAGCACCGCTGTCAGCCAGCAGGGATGCACTGGAAAAGCCCTGGGGCCCACACGAGCCCCGAATTAAGTGTCCTTTGAGGGAAAGGTTCGCATGTTGAAGATTAAACCTCCCCTTCCTTAGCCAGTGGAAGCTAGAAATCAGGAACTGCACCCTTCTCCGTGACCCTGTCAGCATGAGGACCTGCTGTCTACTTTTGGCCGGTTAGAGATAACAGCATTTAGCAGACTTTCTTGCTGTATTTTAAGAAGGGAGCGAGAACTGTGGGCCGGAAAACCACGAGAGCAGGCAAGCCCAGCATGCTGAAGTAGCCATGGCGCATCCAGGGGCCGGGCGCAGTCCTAGCGGAGGGCAGGTGGGAGCCAAAGCCCGTGGCCTTCTGCGTTTCCGTCCTCCGGCCGCCCAGCGTCTCCTGGTTGGGAGAGGACAGGACTGTGGGTGCTGTCCCTGCTGGCAGGCCGTGTGCTCGCTCTGCGTTCTCCCTCCCTTAGTCTGCTCTGTAGGGCTTCGCTGACTGTCTTAATGATGAATGCGATGCTTTTCCTGCCCTTGTGTGCCCTTCTGAAGGCGTCTTCCCGGCTGTCGCCAAGGGCCACTGAAGCGTCCCCCTGTCCCGTCCGTCTTCACTCGCAGTCAGTGTCTCTTGAATGGCATACGAAAGCGTTTCTCGCTGCTTGGTTGTGGGCACCACACACGACGTCTTTTGTATCTTGTATCCATTAATACAGTTGGATACTTACAGTTATTTTTCACCAGTATTCTTTTAAATTCCGCACTAGAAATAAGAGTGCTGTGCACCCTGTGACTCCCGTTCTCCAGGTCGGCTTCTGCGTGCGCGCGCTCCGTGCAGCGGGCGCTGTCAGGCCGGCTGCTTCCAGTGCTGTTTAGGCCTCCTCCGCTGCAAGCTGCGGACTTCGCGCCGATCTTGCCGTGCAGGCCTCCAGCTGACGGCCCGCTTGGCTGGCTGTGGTGGGTGCGGCCTGCATTTCTGCATTTTCCGTTCGCTTTAATTGATAAGCGCTTGCATGTATTTATGCCACCGTGTGACGCTTGAGATACAGTAAAGTGGTCCCGCCAGCTGGTCAGCTCGGGCGTGGCCTCACCCCTTCGTCAACTTTTTTGGAAAGAAGATTGGAAAGCTATCTCTGAGTAGGTGGGGACGCCATAGAGTGCTGCAGTGTTGTCGGCTGTGGTCACCCGCAACGCCACTGAGGAGCCGTGCTCCCCCCAACGCGCTGGAACCGGGGCCCTTCGATCCACGCCGCCCTCTCCATCCCTCTCCCTGCCCCTCTGGTCCGTAGCACCTCCACACTCTGGTTTTCATTTCTCCTGGTGGCTTTTTCAGCACTGGGGATTGAGCCGGGGGCCTTGCACAGGCGAGGCATGTGCTCTGCCGTGGAGTTCTGTCCCCAACCCTTTTTACTTTAGCTTTTGAAACAAGGTCTCACTACTTTGCCTACAGTGGCCCCAAGCTTGCAGTTCTTCTGCCTCTACCTTCCAGGTAGGTGGATTAGAGGAACGACTCCACTCCTGACCTGGCCCCATCAGATCTGTGTGCGTGGGGTCCACCCGGAAGGAGTCACACAGGCTCTGTCTCGCTGTGCCTGGCTTGTCACCTCACATGATGGCTTGAGTTCTACCCATGTTGTTGGGGAGGATGCATTTGCCCTCATTTGTGAAGGCTATATAATATTCCACCATATATAACATATATTTGATAATTGTATGTCCTTTATATAATGACAGTTCTTTTTGTCATTCACCCATTGACAGGTGTGTAGACTGTCCACAGCTTGGCCACTAGGCCAGTAACTGCATGTCCCTGATGACCGGAGATGCTGACCAGATTTAGTGTACATTCCTATGCTGTTAGTCATTTTCCCATTGCTGAGCTGGGTTGTTTCCTACTTGTGAGTCATTCACATTTCTTTTGTGTTTCACATAGTGTTCTTTGGTCAGATTGGGATTGAGCTGGGTGGTTGCGGTCCCCTTCCCCTTGTTCTCTGTTGCTTCTCTGGCTGGGAGGGAGCTCTGCAGTGCGTGGAGTCCATTTCCTTTTGCTTTAGCAAGTTTGTTCAAGGAAGGGGAAGATGAATGCACTGAAAACTGTAGAACACTGGAGATGGCGGTCGGAGGAGACACAAGTGGGAAGATGAACAGTTGAGAGAACCGCTACTCTTTGCAGTTTCCCTGCTGCTCAGAGAAACCTACGAATGTAGCGAGGCCTTCCCCAGAATCCCAGCGTCCTCGTACACCTGGGCTTGCAGCTTCGGAGGCTTCAGTTCACAGTCAGGGGATCCAGGGCAGATGTGTGGCACAGCAGGGGCTCTGGCAGAGGGGAGAGCGGCTCGGGTAAGGCGTCGAGGAATCGGAGTCAAGGGAGAAGCCAGACCTTTGGCCTCCTCCACCAGGCCCACCTGCCTGCAGCAGGGCAGCCCTGCACCTCCATACCAGCCACCTTCCACGTCCATCCCGGAGGCATGGGCTCTAGGGCTCTGGATATAAGCAGGGCGGGCTTCGAGCCCAGCTGGCTTTCTGCTCTCGATGGAAAATGCCTGCCTCAAACGACCTGATGTCCCATACACAGAGTCGACGAGTGACGGCTCTACATGGGGCGGGCATGTCAGGGCCCACTGCTCTGGGACGCAGGCCTGCAGGGGCAGGAAAGCCAGCCCACGCCAGGGCCAGGCGAGCTGCCGACCCCCCTGCACTGTTCTCTGACCTCGAATCACAGCAGCCCCTCTCCTCCTTTTGTAGGAATTAACGGCATGCGCTGACTTCTCTCTTATGCTCTGGGGAAGTGTACCAGGGGTCCAGACTTACCTGGAGTCCCTAGAAAAGATGAGGTCCCATGCTGGGAACATCCCCTTGTCCCTTTGGGAGATGCACTGGGTTCGTGTTGCTTTTCCACCGTCTGCCCCTGGGACCCAGCGTGGCGACTGGCCCCTGGCACCGCTTGTTATAGGACCTGCACAGCGTGGGTCCCACTCCTGAAGGCCTGTGTCCCCAAGGACACATCTCTGACAGAGCCCCTGACCCCGCTGTCTCTCTCCTTGTGCTTCCTAGATGTCTCTGGGCTCACAGGCTGACTTGCAGAGGAAGAAGCGGCGGGCACCAGCACCTCCTCCAGCGCCGCAGCCACCACCGCCCAGCCCCACGGTCCCCAGCCGCAGAGAGGACAAGGAGGAGAACCGGAGGAGCACTGTGGGTGAGTGCTCGTGCTCACATCGCATGCCTGGTGCCTCTGCACGGCACGCTAGCCAGCACCACACTAACGCTGCCCTTAGCTAGCATCGCACTAACGCTGCCTCGGAGTGGCTGTGCGGAGCAGGGGCTGTAAGGCCCCGTCCTGTCTCACCAGCAGGGTCTCACGGGCGTCGTGTGAGCTTGGAGCTGGTGGTAGCACTGGTACCAGGAAGGTGAGACGGATGGAGGATGAATGTGTGGCCGTCTGATGTGTGCGTCTGATGGGAGAAGGACCGATTCCTAAGGCAACATCCCAGGAGGCAGTTTTGAAAGGCAGTTGGCATTTGAAAAGCATCTCAGGCCCCTGGTGGCTCATGCCAGTTGAGCATCCATAATCTGGAAGGTCTGGAACCTGCTGGGCACCACCGTGATGCCGCCAGTGGAAAACCCCACGCGTGAAACTGCGCTTCGCGCACAGCACTGTCAGCCCAGTGCAGGAGCAGCCCTCAGGATCTAGCAGGTGTGAAGCCTACGCAGGTCTGCACCGAGGCCAGGGCGCTGTCCCCAAGGCAGCACATGATGTGCACGCAGATTCCAGACCGTGGCGTGTGGGTCCACAGGTACAGAGAAGCAGCAGCCAACAGCTTGTACCAGGCCGTGAGCCGAGACTCACATGAGGAAGGTGGCTTGTTTACCTCAGAGGGCTGGTCAGAGGGCCTTCGGGAGGAGATCTCAGCCCCAGCCTCTGGGCACCCATGTGTGCCAGGGGCCTGCAGCCAGCAGGCTCCCAGACCCTGGGGGCGGAGTTCTGCAAGTGTGGATTGCCTCAGCAGGGTGGGGTCTCCAAGGCGCAGGCAGCCTGGTTTGGTGGCAGGTAAAAGCCGATTTGGTGTAGGTGTTGGTGTGGCTGGGTTTGGTGCAGTCAGGCTGGCCTTGGTGCTATTTTAGGTGTTGAGTTTGGTGCAGGGCAAAGTTGAGTTCAGTGCTAGGCGTGGCTGGATGCGGTGTTAGCTATGGTGGGGTTTGCTGTTGAGTGTGCCTGAATTTGGTGTTGGGTTTGGTGGGTTTCATGTGGTGTGTGGTTGGGTTTGATGTTTGGCATGGTTGAATTTGATGTTGGATGTGATTGGATTTGGTGTTGTACATGGCTGGGTTTGGTGTTGTACATGGTTGGGGTGTTGTACGTGGCTGGGTTTGATGTCAGGCGTGGCTGGGCTTGGTGTTGGGCGTGGTTGAATTTGCTGCTGAACATGGTTGGATGTGGCATGGGCAGTGCCTGAGTCGGTGTGCGGCAAGTGATGGAGCGTGCCTTCCCCGAAGTGGGGAGTCTCTGGCCTAACCCGACGTCGCTCCCCATTGATTCCACATAGGTGTTGGACGGCAGGTGCCACAGAAGCCCCCGAGAGGCACGGCTCGGGGCCCACCCCAGTTGGTGCTGCCCCCACCCCCGCCCTACCCTCCTCCTGACCCAGACGAGGCGGAGCCCCTCAGCCCTCCCGGGGCAGGTGCTGGTTCCGAGGCCTCAGAGCTGAGACCCAAACGTAGGTGCCGCTCGTCTCTGCTGTGTGCTGACTGTCAGCCTCTGGGCGTGGCTGTGTGGGGCCGGCTCTCCGCACTTCCTGTCCTGTCTGTGGACCCTGTACCTCCCCACTCCTGTGCAGTGTTGTGAGCCCAGGTTCCAGGGCGAGCACCCCGTGCAGGCAGGCTCCCAGGGATCGGCTCCCCCAGGACTGCAACTGTTGGCTGAGGCTTCAGGCACCAGGGCCTGTTGGGTGGTGATAGTCACGGGTGCTGCCCTCTCAGGACATCTGTGGGGTGTGATGGTCACCGGCTGAGCCACCCCAAGACTGCATGCAGGCACTTGGGGAAACGGTCTGCTGTGAGTCTGGCAGCAGCTGGCATTACTCTGTGCTCGGCCTCTGTCCCTCTGTCCCTCTGCCCAGCTGTGTGAGGGGAGCGTCGTGCAGTGCCTAAGGATGGCTTTCATTTGAACTCATCAGGGCCTTACAGAGCGTCCCCCACCCCTGATGGGCGGCGGCTTCCTACACTCAGCCAAACTTGCCCCAGGCCGCTCCGCAGGCCATGACAAGCCCTTCCGTCCTCTCAGCCCCTCTCGCGGCTTCCTTGTAACGTGAGGTGAGCAGCACCCCAGGCTGCGTCTCACTGGGGTGACGATGCTGCCCGAGAAGCCCAGTGCCATGACAGTGACGGGGAGCCATTAGCGTGTGCCCGGCGCCCTGCTGGGGAGTCTGTGCTTCTCTGTGGTTGGGCCATCTCATGTTTGCTGTCCCTTGGGAAAGATGGAGTAGCTGTCCCGGCTTCTGTGCAGAGAAGATAACTGGGATTACTGGTCCGCCTTCTCTAGGCCAAGCCACCTGCTTGGCTCATCTTCCCCGACAGACACCTCTTGCCCACCTTTGAGAATGCTGGATCACCTGGAGGGGCAGCTGGATGACTCTAGGAAGGCAGACTTCGGTTAGGGGAGCCAGGTGTCCCCCTCCCCCAGCACCCCAGCACCGCGGCAGGCCCAGCCAGGAGGAAGGAAAGTCGGAGCCAGGCTGGGCAATTTCACAACTTAATGAGACTCTGTCTGAAAATTTAAATACAAGAGGGGGCTGAGGATGTAGCTTGGCTTCCTTTGGCTCTCCACCCCTCTCCCATTGCTCTAAATTTACTGTTCGGGTTTGGAGTTCGCCTATACCCTCCTCGGTGGCCGGATGGGCCAGCCAGCTCCCCACCTGGGGCTTTGGCGTAGCGGGTTCCGGGCCCTGTCCAGGCAGACGTGGCTGTGCCCGGCTCTGCGGAGCCTTTGCTGTGCAGCTGCCAGCTGTCTTGCCCTGGCTTCTGGACGAGAGGCCCTGTGCTGCTGGTGAGGACCCACGGGGACCCGAGAGGGTCGGGTGGTCGACTAGGGTCCTCGAATGCCCTCCCAGCTTTGCCACCTGGGGAGACTGAGGCAGATGCTCCGCCGTAAGTGACACCGTGGGATTTCCCAGCCTGGGGTCTCGACCCCAGGCGCACTCCGTCCATGCACTGCACTTGGTTCCACTGTGCTTAAATCTCCCGGGAGACATGCTTGCGTTCTCACCTCTACTGCGATTCCCACGTCAGATGCATCCACTGCACAGGCTGTTAAGATAAGAAAGCACACTCTCTTCGGGCCGGAGGGCGTAGGTCACCTTCATAAGGTGGAAGTTAAAAAGCTGGTAGAGGAGAGTCGTGGGAGCTGAGGAGACAGACGCCACCCTCCTCAGCGCGCCGCTCTGCCTAGGCCTCCCTGCAGGACCTTTCGGTCCCCCATCCGTCCTGCTCAGGGACTCTGACCCTGGCTTGTTCCTGAGGCCTTTGCTGGGATGACCTCAACTGCCACCAGCCCACCCCGGCCAGCCTGTCGTGAACTCTGTGACGCTCACCCGTCGCTGGTCAGATCGTGTGCAGGCACCAGGATTCACACAGGGAGAAGGGGTGCCATGCCGTCTAAGCACTTGGGCGCAGGCAGAACCTGAAAGAAGCTCCTCCTGTGTCTCACTGACCCCAGCGCGGGAGGGTCCCCAGGAGCGGCCAGGCCAGCGGATGAGGCCCTGCCCTCCCAGGACCGGGAGTTGCCATGCGCACCAGAGCACTGTTGCCTGGGCAGGGTGGACGGTGCGTGCTGCCAACGCAGCCCGCAGTGCCTGCCCTGGGTGCGATTAGCTCCTGGGCTGGGCAGGACGGATCTGGCTGGTAGAGTATGGGAGCCTGTCCGGACCTCATCTTGGTCAGGAGAAATTTGTATTTGTAAGAAATCCCAGGGACAATTTACTGGCATTCTTGTAAATTCCCATCTACCACTTCTAGTGTAACCCATGGCAAGAAAAAAGAGAGACATCTGTAGTTGTGGGGTGCTGAGGCTGGGTGGAAGAGTGGCTAGCCCAGGCTGAACCGTGTTGCTGTATGCGTCTGTGAAGAGGCAGCGGCTTGGGGAGGAGAGACTGAGAATGGCGGCGGTGTGTGCGTGCTGAGGGCTGGGCCAGGTGGGAGCCAGGGCGCCCAGAGGCCTGCAGAGAAAGGTGTGTGGAAGGAGCCCTGGCTCCAGCCCCAGCAGCCTCGAGGGGCGGCACAGTCTGCACCGCACGGTGTGAGGGAGGAGCCTGTCTTTTGGGTCAGCTGCCTCAGCGCTGATGCTGGCCTTGTTCACTTGGGGGCTGCACTGCCTGCTTCGTGAAGCTCCACCAAGCCCATGGACAGCTGGTGTCTCAGCCTAGCTCAGACCTACTAGGAGGGAGCTGTAGGCAGGACTGCACCAGACCTGTCTCTGGGTCCAAGGCTGCACAGGTCCAACCCGTTTGTGTTGCCTGAAGCCAGCTGACGGGGCAGAGCATTCCTCTGGCCAGCTCCGTGTGTGTCGGCACAGGGAATGGGGCGAAGGTGACTCTCAGTGGAGGTGAACTGTCTCCTTCAGGGCGACCATTCTGGGGCCCTCTGCAGTGCAAGATGCCTGGCTGTCCTTAATCACAGCCCGATGTGGAGGTGCAGAGGCACCAGCAAGGCCCATGTGCTTCCTCTAACTGAAAAGGGAAAATTCTCACCAAGGAAACCCTCAGACACCGAGGTGGCCATGGTCTGTGAGAGAGAATGAAGGTGGATTTCTGGGCTCTGCTGCCTGTGGTTTCAGGTGCCCCCAAAGGCCTCAGAGCATAGTCCCCATGGGCAGGGGGAGCCACTGTGCGCCCCGTGGCACGCAAAGATGAAAGGTCAGGGTTCTGGAACCTTGGCAGAGGTGAGCAGCGTGCGCCCCTGAGGAGATACAGGCATCTTGGCCCCCCGCAGCCACGTCAGCTATAGAAAGCCTCACTTCAGGCCTTCCTAGGAGGTCTGCAGTAAGCACAGTGCAGCTCAGAGGTGGCTCGGGGTGCGAGGCTGGGGACGCGCCCTGGTTCTGTACTGAGGTCCCGTCCGCGTGGTCCATGCCCCAGCTCTTCATGTCCAGGGGAGCTTGCAGCCCCTGGCCTGCCGAGTGCTTTCCTCGCATGTGTGAGAAGTGTGATGACGCTGCCTCTCAGAGCTGTGGGCGCAGGGCTCCTGACGCGGCTGTGGCGCTGTGTGGGGCGGCTTTGCCTGAGTCACGGTTTTCCGCTGTTCGTTCATCCTCTAGCTGCTTCTTCATAGGCTTCCCTGCTAACCTTGGGCCACCTAACTGTGTGCAGGCATGCTGTCCATGCGCGGCTAACCCGAGAAGTGTGCGAGTCGGCCTTGACCCGACGGGTCTAACCAGCTGCTGCCCCTAATCCTTGCTTGCTGGTAGCTGAAATTTCACTGTGAACCACGATGACAAACCTTTCCCATTAGCTGCATCAGATTGTCTGCTCGCAAGATTTACGGGAGTTTAGAACTCGGCTATTAAGTTATTAATTACTTATTCCAATTAGAAGCCCACGGGGACTTAAAAATCAATGTAGATGGTGCTCCAGTGGCACCTCTTCAATTTGCTTTAAATTCTTAAAGCTGAACTACCTCTTGAGTAGACACATTTTCTTACTTGCTTGCCAATACCAAGATGGAGCGAGTAAATCTCCCCATGGCGGTGTACTCAGCAGGGAATTGGCAAGGGATTGTGAAGGTGTGAACGAAAAGCACCACTTTCTCCTGCCCTCAGCATGAGCATTGACAGCCGTTACATTACTTCCCGCTGAAAGGTCCCGAATTGGTGCCCAGAGGAGTGGAGAGCAGGGCCAGCCCAGGGAGAACCCTGTCCCCTCTGCCCCCTTTCCTGCCTGTGGCCTGGGAGCCACCACGCAGCTGCCCCTGCTGCCCTGGGAAAGGCAGCATGAGGCTGAGCAGGTGGCCCTCCCCATGCAATGGCAGGAAGCCGTGGCCTGTGGGGGTAGAGTCTGTCCCTACTCAGAAAGGAAGGCATCAGAGGAGGTGGAGCTGAGTGTGTAACCTGCCACCTCGGTGCCTTGGATGCCATCGCCTCCACCTGTCAACCGGATGCAGCGTAGAAGAGAAGCTAGGAGCGCTGCGATCAACCTGTGTGTCGCAGCGGGGTGGGGGAGCCTGCAGAGCTTGTTTCTTTCCACTGATTATCCTCAGCCCTTTACTGACCGATGCTGTGACCTGAACGGGAATCAAAGAGTGCAGTAAGGATGCCCTGGAACAGGCTGGTGCCCGCCAACCTTCGAGAGCGAGCTGCAAGCTTTTCAGGAATCTTACATGCCAACTGTTAAGCAGGACCATACGGAAAAGGCAATTCTATAAACTTACAGTTAAATAAATAATATTAAAAACAAAGCCAGCAGCTACTAAAACTTCATCACTTCCTAATTATATTACATTTCATCATGTCCCTGCCCTTCCCCTTATGCACATGCAGTGGAGCTATCCAGTTCCAGGCTCTGTATCCGTGAAAAGATTGTGTAACAGAGTAGTCCTGTTACAGTGTAGACCTGTTACACTTAGTTTTGGTACAGCATAGACCTGTTACAGTGTAGACCTATTATACTATAGACCTGTTACAGTGTAGACCTGTTACACTTAGTCCCGGTACAGCATAGACCTGTTAACAGTGTAGACCCATCACAGTGTAGTTTGCAGTGTAGACTTGTTACAGTGTAGACCCATTACAGTGTAGTTTGCAGTGTAGACCTGTTATAGTATAGGCCGGTTACAGTGTAGTTTGCAGCATAGACCTTTTACAGTGTAGTCTGGTTACAGTGTAGACCTGTTACAGTGTAGGCTGGTTATAGTGTAGACCCATCACAGTGTAGTTTACAGTGTAGACCTGTTACAGTGTAGACTGGTTATAGTGCAGACCCATCACAGTATAGTTTACAGCGTAGACCTGTTACAGTGTAGGCCGGTCACAGTGTATACCTGTTACAGTGTAGACTGGTGATAGTGTAGACCCATAACAGTATAGTTTACAGTGTAGACCTGTTACGGTGTAGACCTGTCATAGCGTAGACCTGTTACGGTGTAGGCCGGTCATGGTGTAGACCTGTTACGGTGTAGGCCGGTCACAGTGTAGACCTGTTAGCACCATACTCTCTTCAGCCACTGCCAAGCATAGCTAGAAATCACTCATGAAGTATTTACAGTCTGGGAATGGGCACAGTTTCTACAGCGAAGCTAAATGTATTATTTTTTAATCATCCATATATAAGAGAGAGTCTGTGAAGTGTCCACGATGTAGATGAGCTGTGTTCACAGCGCGTCATGTCGGCAGCCAGGGCACTGTGATGTCCCCAGTTGAAGAACTGCTCTCCCATTTTCAAAATCCAATTATCGATTCCCCCAGAGTCTTTAAGGAGCGGCAAATGCGTAGGATGCTGATGCGTGTCCTCCTGGCTCTGTTTTCATCTGACTCATCATCACACGTGAGTTTGGCAGCCCACACTCGAGCCAGGACTGCTCTTGGTTCCAGTAGTCATGACGGGCTCTCCAGACTGAAGAGTCAGGCAGAGATTAGCGAAAACATTCTGGGCGAATCGCTGTCTAAATAGCATGCAATTTATTCAAGCAAGATTGTGTTTTCTTATTACGTATAATCCTGTGCTTCCTGTCTTTTACGTCAGTAAACCTTTTTCTACTCATACCTTTGGTTTCCAGAGGGCTGCGCCCTACTTACCAGCACTTCACTGCAGACAACTAACACATAGAAATAGAAATGCTGGAAAGCAGAAGTGTTTAGTTAAACTGAGGACACGGCTGTCTCTGATTTCCTACGTCAGTTGAGCCTTAAGATGACACAAATAATTACTCCAGCCTGTATCTCTTGAAGTTTTAATTGATAGTGTGAAGTCAAGTTAGGCATAAGATTCTTTTATTTACTTACTTATTTTAATTTATTGAATTTTGAGGAATGTTTTCTGGGTTCATGTAAACTTAGGTCTTCCCAGAAACAAGGCATGGGCATCTTGATTAATTTTTTTTAATGGTTCCAAATTTCTGTTAAGTACAAGTACTTCACTCCCTAGTTGAGAAGTAAATAGGGTTTGTGTTCCAAGATTCCCTGACTGACGACAGTCTACTGTGTCTCAGGGGTCTGCTTGTGCGCTGCAGACTGAGGGAACTCCTCCCCAGGGGAGCTGGGGACTCAGAGCCACTAGCATGTGGCGCCCCGCATTTCAGGGGCCGCCATACCACAGGAAGCTGCAGAATCAAGGGGGCTGTGCTTGAGACCTCGGTCTCCACGTCCTCTTGTGTCTGTCTCTACCTCAGTAAAGCCATCTGCACCCCTGCATGTACACGGAGGCCCTGCCTGCACCCCAGCAGCGAGGCCGGTCACTGGCCTGAAGGTGTGGGTGGCGAGAGGCAGCGTCTCCTGCTCCCGCTCAGAGTTCTGCCTGTCCCTGGACTTCCTCTCCAGAGGGAGTCCCGGATTCTTATCCCTGGCAGTGGATGACTCTGCTTGTGGGACTTTAAGGTTTTGGACCATCGCACAGTTCTGGCAGGAGGTAGACTCCCCATGTGCGACCCACAGACCCTTTCACCAGCAGGTCTAGAAGCAGAGCAAAAGCAGGCAGGACAAGGCCTTGCACTCTGGCTCTCTAGGGCCGCCCTTAGGACAGGCCACGCCCGCTCTGGCTCACCTTGTCTCCTCCTCCTCCTCCTCCACAGTGTACTGCTGTGCCTCCTTCCCCGCCCACAAGCACCTGTGACAAGGCGCCTCCTGACCCAGCGCCCTCAGGCTCTGCTGTCCTGCCCAGATGCTGCTGCCCCTCTCCACCTTTTGGGATAAAAAGACTCATTTCTACAACCAAAATTTGTGTTCCTTGGAATTTGCATATAAATGCACACTTTGCAGAGATCTGTTTGAGGCTCCTATTTCTTTCTAGGTAGCAAAGACTTGTTATGTGAATTCTGGGTGGGCAGTCTTGACCTATCCAGCCTTCCTTGACCTGTGGATCTGTTTTGGGGAAGAACAGAACTTTATTATAAATCATGGTGAAGTCACAGTTTTCTTACTGTCTTTTCTCCACTTGCCTAGCATGTGCCATGTCGTCATTGACAGTGCTGGGACACTCAGCCCACCTGGTGAAACCAAGGGTGAAATGTGTGAACCCTAACAGGCCTGTAGGGCCACCTGGCCCCCGACAGCCACTAGCTGAGCGAGGGGCTGGCCCAGGCCCGCTGTGTGTTCCCAGCGCCTGGCACCCGCCCCGGGCTCCTGCCCACCCTTCCCGGGCTTCCTCCCCAGACACCCTCACAGGCACTCCCTGGGGGCGCTGCAGGAGGGATAAACAGCAGCCCTGTCCGTGTTTCTCATCTGTGCTTCCCTGCCCTTGTGAAAAGAACCCGTGATGGGTCCACTTGGTGCAAGCTGTCCAGAGGCCTGCGCTGCTGGGTGTGCCCGCGGCACAGCCACCACATCTGCCCACTGCCCCCGGCTCCACAACCCTTACAGTTGGGGACAGATGGCCCCGGCACCATGCGCTGCTCACCCCAGCGCCCTGAGGCTCACAGAGGGGACAGCACCGGCAGGTGAAGATCCTGGTTCAGCAAATAGGCATAGCGGCCATTGGCTGAGACTAGCCTCCGCGGCGGCACCAGGACACACGAACTGGAGCAGATCTTCTTGTTTCTCTCCCAACATTTTTTAAAAAACGTTACTGCTGCAAGTAAGCAAAAGAATCTATTGGTATTTTTAATTAGTGGGACTGTCATCTGGCAGAGGACGGTGGGAACAGTGCTTGGCGCGTCCGGGACGGCCGGGCCGACACTGGCATGGCCGTAAGTAGGAGCCCGAGCTGCACAGAGCAGTCAGTGCTGCGTTCCGCAGTTTGTTTTTTAATCAGTGTTGGTCAGAAACCAGAAAGTCACAGAAATAACTCACGAGGAAAGAGGTTAGAAAGCCCCTTTCTCTGGGTCTGTCTCTGCTTTTCTGTGTCTCTGTCTCTCTCACCGAAATGAAAGACTTACCCAACAAGTAGCCATCATTTGAGCCCACATCACTAAGGAGCGAAAGCTTAGACAGACAAGGTGAAGTTTACGTAAGCACTGGGGGAGACCAGGATTCGTGGTCCAGACAAGAGGTGGTGGAAGGCCGTGGCAGTCACCGTGCCGAGCGTCCTCGTGAGCAGCAGCCGTCACGCAGGAGGAAGAGGCAGCACCGCCCTCAGCACCAGCACGAGGACGCAGGAAGGGGCTCTCCTCGCAGCACTGCTCGTCTGAGAAGCAGCAACCACAGAGCCAAAAACGTACCAAATTCCAGCAGAAACAGGCTACAGGTGTGTAGCAAGAGGACCAGATTCAGCAGAACCCATCAGCGTAGCTAACAGGGAGGCATGGCCGTGGCCCGCATCCACTTGTGGTGACAGGTGCTGCGACATGGACGGCTGGTCTTTGCCAGCCCCTGCTTATCTGTGTGACAGGCCACCAGGAGCTGGACGTGTGACCTGCCAAGCAGATTCCGTGCCCGCCCGGCACTGCGGTAATCAGTTAGACTCTATAGGAATCAGACACATTAATTTTTTCTCTTGTGCGAAGCAGCAGCATTTCACAAAGCTCCCCGTTTCTGGAGCAGCCTAGAACCCTGGCTTGCTGTGCAGCAGGAGAGAGCAGCTTTCTTTTCTCTGCGAGGCCATGCGCCATATTCAGAGAAGATAGCAGGGCTCCTGGTTCCCGAGGAGGGACGCACAGGTCCAGCCACCCTCGGGCTGCCCGGCGTGCATGCAGGTTCATGGTGTGAAGTTCCCTGGTAGGGCCAGGCCCGCGCCAGATGCCAGGGTGAAAGGTACGACACTGCAGCAGCGCACGGCTCCGCGGCTTGAGCTGTCCTACACGCTTAGCCTTTCTCCGTTGAAGAGCCCACTGACGATGGGCAGTGACACTGCTGCAGTTCCTGACCGCAGTCCTCCTTGTAGCGAGGGTTGCTGTCTCACTGCATCAGCACTTTGAACTTTTTCACTCGAAGATCCTCAATCTTTAGATTTTCACTAAATGCTCTCCATTCCATAGATGAAGAAACCTGAGCAGTCCCGCGTGCATGCCGCCTGGCGTTCCGGCGTGGCAGCCTCTAGGATCTGCTATTACACAGCGCATCTGTGTTTTGGGAGCCTTATCAGCTGCTGATATTCACAGTTTTCATGTTAATTTGGATCCATGGTGTGATACAGTGTTCACAGCGTTCACAGCTTACGTACCTGGATTCAAAACATTTCCACACACAGGCTCTCGTAACAAAGCAACGCTCTTGCAGTGGTGACAGGATTGTGTCTGCCCCAAGGCCAGCGGAGGTGGAGGCTTCCGCAGGTTCAGTGCCTTTGGTCACATGACCAGTGACAAAGCCCCCTTTCCAGATGTGACCCACGCACGCTCGCCTTGGCCTCTGATCTGTGTGTGTGTGTGTGTGCGCGCGCACGTGTGTTTTACTGCGTATCATCCATACTTAAGGAACGAGGAAAGAGTGGAAGAGTAGCTTTCTTCCCATTCATCACCAGGGCAGAACGGGAAGCTTCCAAAAGCTTCGGTGAAAACCAAGATGCAGATCCCAAATGCAGTGAGGCCCAGGTTTCCTGAGCGCTCTGGGCTTTAGACCTCGCTTCCTACCAGCATCAGCACATCACTGGTAACCCTTGTACTGAACAGCTCTCACTGGGCTTGGGTGATTCAAATATATCATGACACCCTTGTTTATTTTTATCCTTTTCCCCCTCTTTAAGAAAATAGTATGTTTTTATTGCAGCGAAGGAAGGTGAGTCGACTGGGAAGGTAAGAACCACCTGTATTCAGTTTTAAAAAAAGGGAAGGGGATGCTAAAAGCCCCCTCAGACTCTGGCTGGATGCTTTGTTTCTTGGTTGGTAAATCTGCCAGGCCTTTCATGGAGGAGAGTGGGAGGAAACTCCAGTCCTGCGCCCCAGCCACGGTGGAAGGCCAGTGTGTGCCCTGTGTTCTCCTGCAGCATTCAGGGGCCACTGTTACAGAGTGAATCTCCCTGGAAAGCTTGCTTGACCCCCGAAGCTCGGCGATGCAGTGCAGGTCCCCCCAGGTGGATTGTCTTTGCTGGACTCTGGCATGGCTTCTTCCTTCAGCAGCGGCTTCGGACCCAGCAGGACACCATGAGTGTTGTGGGGACCCTGTGACCCTAACCTCCATGCTAGGGCTCAGTGTAAGGCTGGCAGTTGGAAAATGTCACATGGTCAGGCTGCCAACAATTCATGGGCAGGGGTGGGAAATGCTGCCCAATCCGAGATAGAGGCAGTGTCTGTGAGAGATGAGCTGGCCCTGACAGAAGCAGGAACCCATGCCCCTCGCCCTTTGTGCAGCGTTGGCTGCTGGCCGGATCAGTCCCTGGCCACCTTCCCCGGTCACGCTCCTTGCTGCTCAAGCTTCTCCTAGGCACATGAAGAGCCGGGGCCACCCCTTTGTGTAAACCCAACTTGTTCTGGCCTCTGCATCACAGCCTGTGTGGGAAGACAGTGTGAGGCCGCTCAGGTGTGCTAAGCCCCGGACTCCCTGGACGTGGGGCTCGCCTAGGACTCTTGGGTTCAGTGATGGACACACACTGCGTGAAGACTGAGTTAAGGATCATGAACACAAAATACTGGGGTGGGGGGTCTCTTTTCTTGTGTGGCACTGAGCTACATCCTCAGCCCTTTTTTAAATTTTGCTTGGAGGCAAGGGCTTGTCAAATTGCTTGAGCTGGACTTGAACCTGCAGTCCTCCTGCCTCAGCCTCCAGGAATGTTGGGACTATGGGCTTGTGCCACCAAACTCCACTAATAGATGGTTTTGAAAAGTTTTTAAATCTCTAATAATGGAATTACACATCTTCATTCTGTACCACAAGTTGAAGTGTCACTAGATTGATGGGAATAAGCAAGATTTGTTTCATTTTTGTATCTTCCAGCAGCTGTAGACAAAACATGCTATGTACCAAAAAGCATGTAATTTAGCAAGGCTTCCTGCCCCTGGCCCCCACGGTCGAGGTGATGGACTCGCTTGGCCCCCTCTGGTTTCATTTGTCCTTTGTCACAGTTTCTAATCTGTGTCTGTGTGCTTGTGCACAAAACCTTGCACATCTGTGCAGTTGTACAGGAAACAACACACATATGCACTGTAGGAACATATAAATCGCCTTGTGACGGTCCTGCAAGTCTGATGGGAAATGTGGTTAGCACAGTGTAGCTCAGACTGACAAATGCTAAATGAACTGCAACGTCAAGCTCCATGGTAACTCAGAAGCTGTCTAAATGTGCGGCATTATGTGCTAACGCTGACAGCCCTTGAGATGCTCTGGGGAGGCTGATGCCCCGAGGGTCCAGCAGTGCGGGACGGACGCCGTCCTGGGGAGGAGCACACCTGGCCAGGGTCCCCGCAGCGAAGCCACCTCCTCGCCTGGACAGGTCGGGCTCAGGCCAGCAGCCTGCTCCCCACACCCTGCCATTGCCCACAGCTTCACCGGGTGGGGGAAGGCGTTGGAGGCCTGCCTAGGGAGGTGGCCTGGGTTCCAGGGGCGCCGCCTGCGCGCTTCCACCACCAGGGGGAACCCTGGCTCCCCATGCATGGAGTGCTGGTCAGGAAAATGAAACAAAGATTAAAAAATACACATGGGGCCTCGCTCTTGTGCCGGTGTTGTGCTGTGTCCTGTCGCACAGCGAGCAGGCCAAGTGACAGCAGTCATGGGGTCAAGCCCCTCTCCATGTGCAAATCAAAGAACACGAGACCAGGAGAGTCCAGAGACAGCCCAAACTGCTCAGCTACCGAGCAGCAGGGCTCAGGCTGGCGGACGTCCCAACCCTGGTGGCAGGGTGACCGAGGGTCATGTATTCACGCAGACACACACACACGTGTGCACGCACACCCT